TTCAAAATTACATTTCAAAATAACCAATTCAATACTAAAAATCAATGGCAATTCCTTTAAAATTTCAAGGTAAAGAATTAAGAAACCAAATAGCGTTATTGATACAAAATTTAGTACTATTAAACTTTTTATTTATTATAATAAAAATTAAATGATGAGCATCCCAACAAAATGACAAACTTATAGTCTCAAAAACTAAAATATAATACAAATAAAAAAATTGTCACCAATGTCCAGTCCTATTTTACATTTGCCTAGTATTAAAATAAAATACTTAAAACGAGAACTAAAAAAACTAAATGACTACGCTGTCTCAAAAACTAAAATATTAAACAAATCTTTATAAGTTTAAACAATCAAAACACGAAAACTAAAATTATTGACACTCATTTTCAGTCTTGTTTTACGTAAGTGTAGTATTAAAATTAAAAGAAACGATAAGTCAAAAAGATAAACGACAATGTTAACGAATTATCACAAAATGTTCAAAGATTAAATAATTATTACCATAAATTTTAGGTAAGCCGTTTAAAAAAATAATTTTGATAATCTCTATTATGATTACTTAATAAGCTGAGGTTATAAAACGTTCGACTCGCTGACAGACGTTTTTAGTTTTATTGAACGAATTTTAACAGTGGTAGAGCCACGCGGCAGCTTTGCTGTCGCACGTATGGGCCGGCTCAAACCGGGGTGGTACCACGACCTCACAGAATACCGGCGTGAAGTGGAAGCTCTGCTTCCGCGTTTCGTCTGGTGAGTGCAGGTGGCCGGAGGCCCAAATCCCCCCCCCCCCCATCAACATGGTAGCGGAATTCAATGATAGACTACCCCAGGAGGGTACCAGCACCCCTGGAGAATCCCTCGCTGAGCATCCACGACCATGTTTTTCCACTTCTGAGCGTGGGTGCTCAGGCTGCCCCGCGTATTCTGGGGGGGGCAAAATTCCGCTCAAGACTAAAACTGCTCGGGGCAAACGGAGCAACAAGACCAAGGCGACCCCTGCCACGCTGTCCGTGAATTTCTGCAATATCAGGGGACTTCACTCCAACCTAAACGCCGTCCACTACCATCTCGAGACGGCGAGGCCGGCTCTGCTCTTTCTGACCGAGACGCAGGTGTCCTCTCCGGTTGATGTCTCGTATCTCTCCTACCCGGGGTACAAACTGGAACACTCCTTTGTGCCTCGGGCTGGAGTTTGCGTTTACGTCAGAGAGGACATCTGTTCTCGACGCCTCGGCAGACTTGAAGGTTCGGACCTGTCCATCCTTTGGCTACGCGTAGACAGCGACGACCATCCGCGCATCTACGGGTGCCTCTATAGGTCCCACAGCGGTAATGCCGAAACAGACCGACTCTTCGACCACGTCCAAATGGCTGCAGATTCGTTGCTACAGCAGATCCCCTCCGCAGAGATCGTGATCCTCGGCGACTTTAACGCCCATCACGCCGAATGGCTCGGTTCACGTTTAACCGATCATGCGGGGAGATCTGTTCATGATTTTGCCTTGTCATATGGTCTGACACAACTGGTTACTTCGCCTACGCGGACTCCAGATGTGGAGGATCATGCACCTTCCCTGTTGGACCTTCTGCTGACCTCTCACCCGGACGGATATCAGATTTCCGTCGACGCCCCTTTAGGCTCCTCGGACCATTGTCTTGTCCGGAGTGTGGTGCCACTCACGCTGAAATCGCGGTTGCATTCTGCAGGCTGCCGCCGTGTTTGGCACTATAGGTCAGCCGATTGGGATGGGATGCGGTCTTTCTTTGCATCCTACCCTTGGGGGCGGGTTTGGTTCTCGCCGGACGATCCCAACGTTGTTGCGGATTCTGTCGCTGATGTGGTACTTCAGGGTATGGAACTTTTTATTCCTTCCTCTGTGGTGCCCATTGGAGGCAAATCTCAGCCATGGTTTGGTCGCTCCTGTAAAATAGCATCATGCTATAAGCAGGAGTGCTACCAGGCCTGGGCTGACGCATCAGCGTCCAGGGATGTAAACACCAGCGCTCTAAAAAAGAAGTATAATTCCGCCTCTAGGTCCTTCAAAAGAGTCATTGCCAAGGCAAAGTCAGAGCACATAGGCAGAATTGGCGAGAAACTAGTTCGTCTTCCTTCTGGAACCCGTACATTCTAGACTCTCGCCAAGGCTGTCCAGGGGAATTTCTGTCAGCCATCTCTTCCATCTCTGCACAGGGAGGACGACTCACTGGCCCACACCGCAAAGGAGAAAGCCGATCTTCTAGGCTCTTTCTTTGCGTCTAACTCGACTCTCGATGACGGGGGGAGTACGCCGCCGACCATCCCGCGGTGTGAGTGCTCCATGCCGGAAGTGCAGTTCACTCAGCGCTCGGTTCGCAAAGCACTCCTCTCCCTGGACATCCACAAGTCGAGTGGGCCTGACGGAATCCCCCCAATTGTGCTGAGGACGTGTGCTCCAGGGTTGGCACCGGTTTTAACGCGTTTTTTCCGGTACTCCTACTCCCTAGGCGTAGTCCCAAAATCATGGAAGACGGCTTTCGTCCACCCGATCCCTAAAAAAGGCGACCGCTCAGACCCGTCCAACTACCGGCCTATCGCCATCACCTCCTTGTTCTCCAAAACAATGGAGTCCATTGTAAACTGCCAGCTCATGAGGTACCTTGAGGATCACCAGCTGATTAGTGACCGCCAATACGGTTTTCGCCGTGGTAGGTCAGCTGGTGATCTTCTGGTCTACCTAACTCACAGATGGGCGGAGGCAGTAGAGTCCAAGGGGGAGGCATTGGCCGTTAGTTTGGACATTGCGAAGGCCTTCGATCGGGTTTGGCACAAAGCGCTTCTTTCGAAGCTCCCTTCCTATGGGCTTCCCGAGAAATTGTGCGATTGGATCACCAGTTTTCTTGCAGATCGGAGCATCAAGGTCGTTGTAGACGGTGCAAGCTCCGATTGCAAGCCTATTAATGCTGGTGTTCCACAGGGCTGCGTGCTATCGCCAACGCTGTTTCTTCTGCATATCAATGATATGTTGCAGACCCGTAACATTCATTGCTATGCAGATGACAGCACTGGTGATGCTCTTTACACCGGCCGAGCCAATATTTCTCGGGAAAACGTCTCCGAGTGCCGGGACAAACTTGTGTCTGAAGTCGAGTCTCTGCTGGACAGAGTCTCGGATTGGGGGCGACTAAATCTAGTCCAGTTTAACCCCCAGAAGACACAAGTTTGCGCGTTAACCGCTAAAAAGTACCCCTTTGTCGTATCCCCTCAGTTTCAAGGCACTCCCCTTGTTGCCTCAGCCAGTATCGGAATCCTCGGCGTCGACATATCGAGTGACGTGCATTTTCGTGGTCACTTGGAAGGGAAGGCCAAATTGGCCTCTAAAAAGCTTGGCGTGCTCAGCAGAGCGGGACAGTATTTCATGCCGGCACACCGCCTGCAACTTTACAAGGCGCAGGTTCGGCCGCACATGGAATACTGTTCCCATCTCTGGGCTGGGGCTCCCCAGTACCAGCTCCTTCCACTTGACCACATCCAGCGCAGAGCGGCTCGAATCGTCGACGACCGAGTGCTTTCCGATCGGCTCGATTCTCTGGCACTGCGAAGAGATGTTGCATCCCTTTGCATTTTCTTTCGCATATACCATGGAGAGTGCTCTGAGGAATTGTTCGGATTAATCCCAGCCGCCAAATTTCGTGAACGCACTACGCGGCAAACGTCCCGATACCATCCACACCATCTGGATGCTTGGCGGTCCACCACTGTACGTTTCAAAAGGAGTTTTCTTCCGCGTACAACCTCTCTGTGGAATAATTTACCACCAGCGATTTTTCCGGACCGATACGACCTGGGGACCTTCAAGAAAAGAGCTTACTCCTTTCTAAAGGGCCGGCAACGCGTCTGCAATTCCCCTGGTGTTGCAGTTGATCATGGGCGGCGGTAGTCACTTAACATCAGGTGAGCCACATGCTCGTTTGCCCCCTCAAAAAAGACACCATTATTTTGTTGTCGGATATTAATAACCATTATATTAAATATTTATATATATATATATATATATTAATCATGTTACCTGTAAGACAGCGGGATGTTTTCGTTTTATGTATGTGCTGTTTTGAATTTGTAGTATTACCAAAAGTTTTTAATTTTTTTGGTCATTACTTGTATATTGCTGTGGCATTATCCTTTTTCGTTATAAAATACTTTCGCTAGCTGCTTTTAGGTGTTTTACGGTTAGAAGACATAGTCAAGATTCGAAATTGACCCAGGACGTTTTTAAAAAGACTTTATTAATAAACTTATAACTATTAATGTGCGATACATTACTTATATACTACTTAATTAATCCGCGATGGATTCTAACCTAAGGCTACATGTGCGATACATGTGCGAGCCAAACTAAGACTATCCTGATTCTTATTTTAGATATTTAAGCTAAAGAACAGTTATCAGTATTCACAGGAAAGACCACCCGTCTTCCAGACGCAATTCAGCAATCTACGCCCACGCTTACACTTGAATTGTTATGGTCCCCGGTGCAGTTCCGTGAATACCGGGATGCATAACTACATTTTTATTGTTTACCAACAAACAGCAACAACTTTATCTCACTCACCACTACACTGAAACTAAATTGCTTTACAGCTTTACACGCACACATACATGCCTATAGACGGCGCCGTTTTCATTCAATCAAATAATACGTATGAACTTAATTCAAGATTTTTCATCCAACGCATAGATACGAGCTGTTTCTGAAAATCTATGATAATAGATATAATAATAATAATAATGTATTTTACTAAACGTTTTAAAAGTAAGTTATCGGATAATAACAACGCACATGTAAGAAATTGCATCCTTTTATTGTAAATGTGTTTCCCGCCAAAATGCTTCCATACTGTGCCATATCATATATGTGGTGCAGAAGCACATTTAGACCTTTCTGTGTAATGTGTGATCTGCGTGACCTATCGTGAAAAGCTTTTTCGTTTTATTTAATAAATTTAAACAATTTCAGGAAAAAAGTTAAAATGACGGACAAGCCAAAGCGTCCAATGTCAGCATATATGTTATGGTTGAACAGTGCAAGAGAACAGATAAAAGCAGATAATCCAGGGCTTAGAGTCACCGAAATAGCGAAAAAGGGAGGTGAAATATGGAAGTCGATGACTGACAAGAGTGTATGTATATTTTACTATTACTTAATTTTTTTATCACCTTCTTTATTGTCCTAGTAATAATTTTAATTTATCAGGTTTGGGAGGAGAAAGCTGCAAAAGCAAAAGAACAGTACACAAAGGATTTGGAATCGTACAATGCCAATGGTGGTGGTGGTGAAGGAGGTACACTCTCTTGTAGTATACTCTCTTGTCAGTCATCAACCTACTTAGGTTGGTGACTGACAAGAGAGTATATTATATTGTTACTTAGTTTTTTTTTATTACTATCTTCATTTCCTAAAAATTATTTTAATTTATCAGGTTTGGGAGGAGAAGCTGCAGAAGCAAAAGTACAGTACACAAGGGATTTGGAATCTCACAATGCCAATGGTGGTGGTGGTGAAGGAGGTACACTCTCTTGTAGTATACTCTCTTGTCAGTTATCAACCTACTTAGGTTGGTGACTGACAAGAAAGTATATTATATTGTTACTTAGTTTTTTTTTTATTACTATCTTCATTTCCTAAAAATTATTTTAATTTATCAGGTTTGGGAGGAGAAGCTGCAGAAGCAAAAGAACAGTACACAAGGGATTTGGAATGTAAGACAGCGGGATTTTTTCGTGTTATGTATGTGCTGTTTTAAATTTGTAGTATTACCATAAGTTTTTAATTTTTTTTGGTCATTACTTGTATATTGCTGTGGCATTATCCTTCTTCGTTATAAAATACTTTCGCTAGCTGCTTTTAGGTGTTTTACGGTTAGAAGACATTTATATTGTTTACCAACAAACATCAACAACTTTATCTCACTCACCACTACTCTGTTAACTAAACTGCTTTACAGCTTTACACGCACACATACATGCCTATAGACGGCGCCGTTTTCATTCAATCAACTAATACGTATGAACTTAATTCAAGATTTTTCATCCAACGCATAGATACGAGCTGTTTCTGAAAATCGATTTAAACGCGTAATTTATATAATCTATTTACTAAAAATCGATTAATGTTACTATAAAAATCGATAGTAAACATAGATTATAGGAAAGTAATAATCGATTTAAACAAAAATCGATTATTTTTTAACATACCTACAGGCCAGTGAACTCGGGCGATAACTATTTCTGTTGATTATACCATTATGTATTAATAATAATGTATTTTACTAAACGTTTTAAAAGTAAGTTATCGGATAATAACAACGCACATGTAAGAAATTGCATCCTTTTATTGTAAATGTGTTTCCCGCCAAAATGCTTCCATACTGTGCCATATCATATATGTGGTGCAGAAGCACATTTAGACCTTTCTGTGTAATGTGTGATCTGCGTGACCTATTGTGAAAAGCTTTTTCGTTTTATTTAATAAATTTAAACAATTTCAGGAAAAAAGTTAAAATGACGGACAAGCCAAAGCGTCCAATGTCAGCATATATGTTATGGTTGAACAGTGCAAGAGAACAGATAAAAGCAGATAATCCAGGGCTTAGAGTCACCGAAATAGCGAAAAAGGGAGGTGAAATATGGAAGTCGATGACTGACAAGAGTGTATGTATATTTTACTATTACTTAATTTTTTTATCACCTTTATTGTCCTAGTAATAATTTTAATTTATCAGGTTTGGGAGGAGAAAGCTGCAAAAGCAAAAGAACAGTACACAAAGGATTTGGAATCGTACAATGCCAATGGTGGTGGTGGTGAAGGAGGTACACTCTCTTGTAGTATACTCTCTTGTCAGTCATCAACCTACTTAGGTTGGTGACTGACAAGAGAGTATATTATATTGTTACTTAGTTTTTTTTTATTACTATCTTCATTTCCTAAAAATTATTTTAATTTATCAGGTTTGGGAGGAGAAGCTGCAGAAGCAAAAGTACAGTACACAAGGGATTTGGAATCTCACGATGCCAATGGTGGTGGTGGTGAAGGAGGTACACTCTCTTGTAGTATACTCTCTTGTCAGTTATCAACCTACTTAGGTTGGTGACTGACAAGAGAGTATATTATATTGTTACTTAGTTTTTTTTTTATTACTATCTTCATTTCCTAAAAATTATTTTAATTTATCAGGTTTGGGAGGAGAAGCTGCAGAAGCAAAAGAACAGTACACAAGGGATTTGGAATGTAAGACAGCGGGATTTTTTCGTGTTATGTATGTGCTGTTTTAAATTTGTAGTATTACCATAAGTTTTTAATTTTTTTTTGGTCATTATTTGTATATTGCTGTGACATTATCCTTCTTCGTTATAAAATACTTTCGCTAGCTGCTTTTAGGTGTTTTACGGTTAGAAGACATTTATATTGTTTACCAACAAACATCAACAACTTTATCTCACTCACCACTACTCTGTTAACTAAACTGCTTTACAGCTTTACACGCACACATACATGCCTATAGACGGCGCCGTTTTCATTCAATCAACTAATACGTATGAACTTAATTCAAGATTTTTCATCCAACGCATAGATACGAGCTGTTTCTGAAAATCGATTTAAACGCGTAATTTATATAATCTATTTACTAAAAATCGATTAATGTTACTATAAAAATCGATAGTAAACATAGATTATAGGAAAGTAATAATCGATTTAAACAAAAATCGATTATTTTTTAACATACCTACAGGCCAGTGAACTCGGGCGATAACTATTTCTGTTGATTATCCCATTATGTATTAATAATAATGTATTTTACTAAACGTTTTAAAAGTAAGTGACCTATTGTGAAAAGCTTTTTCGTTTTATTTAATAAATTTAAACAATTTCAGGAAAAAAGTTAAAATGACGGACAAGCCAAAGTGTCCAATGTCAGCATATATGTTATGGTTGAACAGTGCAAGAGAACAGATAAAAGCAGATAATCCAGGGCTTAAAGTCACCGAAATAGCGAGAAAGGGAGGTGAAATATGGAAGTCGAAGACTGACAAGAGTGTATGTATATTTTACTATTACTTAATTTTTTTTATCACCTTTATTTTCCTAGTAATAATTTTAATTTATCAGGTTTGGGAGGAGAAAGCTGCAAAAGCAAAAGAACAGTACACAAAGGATTTGGAATCGTACAATGCCAATGGTGGTGGTGGTGAAGGAGGTACACTCTCTTGTAGTATACTCTCTTGTCAGTCATCAACCTACTTAGGTTGGTGACTGACAAGAGAGTATATTATATTGTTACTTAGTTTTTTTTTTATTACTATCTTCATTTCCTAAAAATTATTTTAATTTATCAGGTTTGGGAGGAGAAGCTGCAGAAGCAAAAGAACAGTACACAAGGGATTTGGAATGTAAGACAGCGGGATTTTTTCGTGTTATGTATGTGCTGTTTTAAATTTGTAGTATTACCATAAGTTTTTAATTTTTTTTTGGTCATTATTTGTATATTGCTGTGACATTATCCTTCTTCGTTATAAAATACTTTCGCTAGCTGCTTTTAGGTGTTTTACGGTTAGAAGACATTTATATTGTTTACCAACAAACATCAACAACTTTATCTCACTCACCACTACTCTGTTAACTAAACTGCTTTACAGCTTTACACGCACACATACATGCCTATAGACGGCGCCGTTTTCATTCAATCAACTAATACGTATGAACTTAATTCAAGATTTTTCATCCAACGCATAGATACGAGCTGTTTCTGAAAATCGATTTAAACGCGTAATTTATATAATCTATTTACTAAAAATCGATTAATGTTACTATAAAAATCGATAGTAAACATAGATTATAGGAAAATAATAATCGATTTAAACAAAAATCGATTATTTTTTAACATACCTACAGGCCAGTGAACTCGGGCGATAACTATTTCTGTTGATTATCCCATTATGTATTAATAATAATGTATTTTACTAAACGTTTTAAAAGTAAGTGACCTATTGTGAAAAGCTTTTTCGTTTTATTTAATAAATTTAAACAATTTCAGGAAAAAAGTTAAAATGACGGACAAGCCAAAGCGTCCAATGTCAGCATATATGTTATGGTTGAACAGTGCAAGAGAACAGATAAAAGCAGATAATCCAGGGCTTAAAGTCACCGAAATAGCGAGAAAGGGAGGTGAAATATGGAAGTCGATGACTGACAAGAGTGTATGTATATTTTACTATTACTTAATTTTTTTATCACCTTTATTTTCCTAGTAATAATTTTAATTTATCAGGTTTGGGAGGAGAAAGCTGCAAAAGCAAAAGAACAGTACACAAAGGATTTGGAATCGTACAATGCCAATGGTGGTGGTGGTGAAGGAGGTACACTCTCTTGTAGTATACTCTCTTGTCAGTCATCAACCTACTTAGGTTGGTGACTGACAAGAGAGTATATTATATTGTTACTTGGTTTTTTCTTTTATTACTATCTTCATTTCCTAAAAATTATTTTAATTTATCAGGTTGGGAGAGAAGCTGAAAGCAAAAGAACATACGTGACCAAAGATCTGGACATATAATTTTACTTAGTTTTTTTTTATTACTATCTTCATTTCCTAAAAATTATTTTAATTTATCAGGTTTGGGAGGAGAAGCTGCAGAAGCAAAAGAACAGTACACAAGGGATTTGGAATGTAAGACAGCGGGATTTTTTCGTGTTATGTATGTGCTGTTTTAAATTTGTAGTATTACCATAAGTTTTTAATTTTTTTTGGTCATTATTTGTATATTGCTGTGACATTATCCTTCTTCGTTATAAAATACTTGCGCTAGCTGCTTTTAGGTGTTTTACGGTTAGAAGACATTTATATTGTTTACCAACAAACATCAACAACTTTATCTCACTCACCACTACTCTGTTAACTAAACTGCTTTACAGCTTTACACGCACACATACATGCCTATAGACGGCGCCGTTTTCATTCAATCAACTAATACGTATGAACTTAATTCAAGATTTTTCATCCAACGCATAGATACGAGCTGTTTCTGAAAATCGATTTAAACGCGTAATTTACATAATCTATTTACTAAAAATCGATTAATATTACTATAAAAATCGATAGTAAACATAGATTATAAGAAAATAATAATCGATTTAAACAAAAATCGATTATTTTTAACATACCTACAGGCCAGTGAACTCGGGCGATAACTATTTGTGTTGATTATCCCATTATGTATTAATAATAATGTATTTTACTAAATGTTTTAAAAGTAAGTTATCGGATAATAACAACGCACATGTAAGAAATTGCATCCTTTTATTGTAAATGTGTTTCCCGTCAAAATGCTTCTATACTGTGCCATATCATATATGTGGTGCAGAAGCCCTTTCTGTGTAATGTGTGATCTGCGTGACCTATTGTGAAAAGCTTTTTCGTTTTATTTAATAAATTTAAACAATTTCAGGAAAAAAGTTAAAATGACGGACAAGCCAAAGCGTCCAATGTCAGCATATATGTTATGGTTGAACAGTGCAAGAGAACAGATAAAAGCAGATAATCCAGGGCTTAAAGTCACCGAAATAGCGAGAAAGGGAGGTGAAATATGGAGGTCGATGACTGACAAGAGTGTATGTATATTTTACTATTACTTCATTTTTTTATCACCTTCTTCATTTTCCTAGTAATAATTTTAATTTATCAGGTTTGGGAGGAGAAAACTGCAAAAGCAAAAGAACAGTACACAAGGGATTTGGAATCTCACGATGCCAATGGTGGTGGTGGTGAAGGAGGTACACTCTCTTGTAGTATACTCTCTTGTCAGTCATCAACCTACTTAGGTTGGTGACTGACAAGAGAGTATATTATATTGTTACTTAATTTTTTTTTATTACTATCTTCATTTCCTAAAAATTATTTTAATTTATCAGGTTTGGGAGGAGAAGCTGCAGAAGCAAAAGAACAGTACACAAGGGATTTGGAATCTTACAATGCCAAAACAGGAATCTTTTCGAATTACTTACCCATCCTAATAATAATAAAATAATAAAATAGTGTTTTTATTATATCATATTAAACGATGTGGTAAATTCTGAATCTAACGAAGTTTCTTCAAGTAATCTAATGGGAAACACTCACATGGCATGGCACATTTACTATCTTTAATATGTTTAAATATAATTAAGTTTAAGTATTTTGTTGCTAACATTGACAATACCTATTTATTTCAAGATCAAAATATTTGCGAAACTTGCTCGAGCAATTTCAACAAATGTGAATTTGGGGGAGTAAGGTGTTTTATTTGGTAGAGGTTTGGTCACCGATTATAATAATACCACTCACATTAAATGGTAATACACCGTTATCGAAAAATAAATAAAAACTATTATGACCTAAAAACCTAAAATATGTACATGCTTCTGATTGTATTCAGCTGAACTGCGTTCATAGTAGAGATGAAGCGTATATACTAGAACAGATCCAGGGACTAAGTATTTAACGAGACTAGGTTGCACCTATTCCAACTTTTAAAATACTTGATCCATCTAGTCTCACTGTGCCTACGCGTCGTACTCGTATTTTATTGCCGCAGACAGTAGTTACTAGGCGCTCAACTCGGGTCGTCTTTGCCTAAATTATTAGTTTGTCAGTCATTTGAATTTGAACCAAATTTTAATGAACATAAAGGTAACGTGACGCGCACTCGTGTTTGTTGTGTAATAATATATTCTGTCCTTTTTTTAACTAGACTATTCCGTAGTCTTTCTATCTTTGTCTGTCAATACTCGAGACTCGAGACTAGTCGGGACTCGGACTAGTTCAACCAAATACTAGTACGAGACTAGTACAAGGCAGGCGAGTGTCTATTGTCAATATGGTACGGACTCATGCGAATGTGATCTCGGTGGACGCTGTTTTCATGTTTCCATGACTACATTACATAGTATTGGAAGCGTAAACAATTTACGTTTCGATGATTATGTAATATATTTTGATGAATATACATTAAATAATTAATATAAGTAAATGTGTCATGCATGCTTTTAGTAGTATAAAAATGCGTTCATTTACCCACATTTACTAATCTATATATTTTATAATCGTTCGTAAGGAGTGAACTTCAGTTGTGCGCCGGAACTGACAAACTCACTTTTTATTTTTCAGAACAATTCTTTTTTTAATGTTATTTTTATAAGAATTATGCAAACAATATTCTAAAAAAATATTATAATTAGGCTCGTTACTATTAAGATTATATGAGAGAAATGAAAATAATCCACTTTAAATTCTCCCTTCCGTCATTAGTATGAGCTGCATCAACCAATTATAGAATTATAGCAATAGTAAAAAAAACATAGCAGCTTAAAATCAAGACATACAAAATCAATAGGTGAGTACTCCCATTCTAGAGTTTTTCAAATAAATCAAAGATAAACATCTTTTAAAACAAATTTTACAAAATATGAAGTACTACTAAGTAGCATTTGAAGTAATTGGATGTAAATGATCTTAATTTATTTTTCATATAACCTTAATTCTCGTAATTTAGTTACGAGAATAATTATAATAATTTTGTCAAGTATGAAGGGAAGATGTATGAATTCATTATTGCACACGTTTCAGCAGTACGCACGTAAAATATGGTACTTGAAACTATAGCGTATCCTATTCCTATTCCAACAATACTAAACTTTATGTGTACTTGATACTTTATGGACTAGGTGGAACAGGTATTTGGATCGAGTATTTATACGGAATTGGACTAGGTGCACCTAGTACGAAATTTACCTAGTACGACTCATCTCTAGTTCATAGCGCATGCCCAATGAAACAGCCAATGACAGTGACTGTGCGAGAGAGACAGACTCTACATAAACTCAGTCTCTCTCTCTCTACGCCGATCACGCTTTCTGCTCACACAGTGCTCCCTCCATGTAATGTATGCTCTAAGTGTGGAGCAGTATGGAAAATGATACATTTTTTTATTATTAACAGGCTTTATGGCTCTGGGTTCTAGCCCTTAAAACATCTTACTCCCCTAAATTCCTACCAAACGATTCCAAATCCAACCCTAATATTAAGCCTTACACTGTGCCGTGTACTACATATAATTCATTGCTAATTTCTTTCTATTGTGTCTGAAAATCGGATAGGGAAAGTCTTAAGAATGAGCTATGTAATGGTCGCCACTCACAGTCAATTCAAACTAGGACTGTTGATATTTTTTAAAATATCGAATTATCAATATATCAAAAATCCAAGTTCAAACTACGATATCAAGATATCAATGCTCGTAGTTTGAACTGAATAGTTGGAATGATCAGTTGAATTGACCGTGTCGTCCATAACACAAATTTTATTGGTTTGGTGGAGTTGCAATCTGATGGATGGTTAAACATATATAATGAGTGATCAATGCTGTCATAAGAGGATGTTAATATAATGTTGCTTTATTAGATTTGTTTTTATTATTTTGATCCATTAGCCTATGAAAGTTTACTTCTGAACTTGGACCTTCCCATAAATTGCAATTTTCCCTTTCCCATAAATTAAATTTTATAAGTTTAATGATTTTTTATATTTATGCGAACACTACACATTGATTAAAACTACTTTTACGGATTTTATCGCGTTTAATTTTACTTTTAATTATTTTTATTTTCAATTCCCTACGTTTCGGGTGCTTTCCAGCACCCATGGTCACGGGGGACTGAGGTGAGTGAGGTGACTGACGTCCCGATGTCAAAGTTAATCCGGAGTAGACTGGTCCTATCTACGCAGAATGAACTAACGAACTGTGTTTTGAAGTCTTGCAGTGGTATGCTTGGGTTTAGTTTTAATTTTATTAATTATAGGGTCCCAAACAGGTGGTAGTACCCAGCCTCCTTCTCTATTGAAATTAGGATGTTTTTTAATTTCAATAGCCTCACATCATCATCCTTGGTAAGAATCGGTGTTCTTTCGCGAGGATTTTTGGTTTATCAAATCTGATGTAATGGTCGGGGCCGTCTAGGATATGATCAAAAACTGCAAACTTCCCGGAACGTTGATGCTTCACACTTAAATTTTAACATTTGTGGACACATCAATTATAAACATTATAACAAACAAAAACAAAAATAGGAAACAAAACAACAATTTGACGGATAAATCGGTATGGAATCCCTATGAGGAAAAATATATTTTGATGATAGAGAGAATACAGCGCAAATTTGCACGATGGCTATATAAACAGAAATACGGTTACTACCCCTATCTATATCCGTCCTTATTTGTTAATGGTATGGTGGGTTTGGACACGCTTAAACTTAGGCGAACGATGCAGTTGATAACACACTACCTAGCAATCATCCATAATCGTATAGATAGTCCGATGATAATATTAAGTAGAGTACGGTTGTTGGCTCCGAAGCGGCTGGGCTGTGATTAGAGATGAGTCGTACTAGGTAAATTTCGTACTAGGTGCACCTAGTCCAATTCCGTATAAATACTCGATCCAAATACCTGTTCCACCTAGTCCATAAAGTATCAAGTACGCATAGTTTAGTATTGTTGGAATAGGAATAGGATACGCTATAGTTTCAAGTACCATATTTTACGTGTGTACTGTTGAAACGTGTGCAATAATGAATTCATACATCTTCCCTTCATACTTTACAAAATTATTATAATTATTCTCGTAACTAAATTACGAGAATTAAGGTTAGGTATATGAGAAATAAATTAAGATAATTTACTTCAAATGCTACTTAGTAGTACTTCATATTTTGTAAAATTTGTTTTAAAAGATGTTTATCTTTGATTTATTTGAAAAACTCTAGAATGGGAGTACTCACCTATTGATATTGATTGATTTTAAGCTGCTATGTTTTTTTTACTATTGCTATAATTCTATAATTGGTGATTCAGCTCATACTAATGACGGAAACGAGAATTTAAAGTGGATTATTTTCATTTCTCTCATATAATCTTAATAGTAACGAGCTTAATTATAATATTTTTTAGAATATTGTTTGCATAATTCTTATAAATAACATTAAAAAAAAGAATTGTTCTGAAAAATAAAAAGTGAGTTTGTCAGTTCCGGCGCACGACTGAAGTTTACGCCTTACGAACGATTATAAAATATATAGATTAGTAAATGTGGGTAAATGAACTCATTTTTATACTACTGAAAGCATGCATGATACATTTACTTATATTAATTATTTAATGTATATTCATCAAAATATATTACATAATCATCGAAACGTCATGGAAATATGAAAACAGCGTCCACCGAGATCACATTCGCACGAGTCCGTACCGTATTTGACAATAGACACTCGCCTGCCATGTACTCTTGTATAAGTATTTGGTTGAACTAGTCCGAGTCCCGACTAGTCTCGTACTAGTATTTGGTTGAACTAGTCCGAGTCCCGACTAGTCTCGAGTATTGACAGACAAAGATAGAAAGACTACGGAATAGTCTAGTTAAAAAAGGACAGAATATATTATTACACAACAAACACGAGTGCGCGTCACGTTACCTTTATGTTCATTAAAATTTGGTTCAAATTCAAATGACTGACAAACTAATGATTTAGGAAAAGACGACCCGAGTTGAGCGCCTAGTAACTACCTACAGTCTACGGCAACAAAATACGAGTACGACGCGTAGGCACAGTGAGACTAGATGGATCAAGTATTTTAAAAGTTGGAATAGATGCAACCTAGTCTCGTTAAATACTTAGTCCCTGGATCTGTTCTAGTATATACGCTTCATCTCTAGCTGTGATGTGGAGGGGACGATGGCACGACGGCGGCGGCGTCGCCTTCTGTGGCAGCCGCCGGCGCGCACCAGGTACGGTGCCCACGCGCCCACTTCTCGTGCTATACGGCTTATCGGAGACATGGTCGCAGATTATAACGAGACCGATTTATTTGCTGATAGCTGAGGGCAACTGTGTAATAAAGCCCTTCTATTTTTGACATCCAATTTTGACAAATTGTAATATTATTAGTATTCTCTTAATCCTATCTTATGTAATCAATCTGACAATGACA